CGCGATTTTACATCAGTTAAAGCGTCTGACTGTATGTACACTGAATGAGTAAATCTGCATCGTATGGGATCCTTCGAAACACAGGAAATCGTTGTAGGATCCTATGAAATCCTACATAATCTTATCATAGGAACTCATGTGATTTCTGTTAGGATAATGTGGTACTTCTTACAGGATTCTATCACCTGAATCCCCTACAATACCTTACACTTGGAAACATTGCATTCTCTGTTCCGATCCACCAAGAAACTCGTTTCTTTGACCACTGACTATTGGATGGTGGATTATGCACGTAAGTCTGCCGGACTTCTAGTGCTTTATTAAAACATGAAAGGAATTTTGATTCATACTAGTAGTTGTCGCGCTGCTCTTTCTTCTACGACCTAGAAAAGCTGATTTGAATACCATCTTTTTAGAGAAAAAAGGATCGCGAGTGGAGCGTTTTGCTAGATCCGTTCGAAAAAGCGGAATTTATGCAAACAACTGAGATGGCGTGTATTCTTCTTTTGCATAAATTCCACTTTTTCGAACCGGTCTGGCAAAACGTATCCAATGCGATCCTTTTTCCGCTATAAAGATGGCATTCAAATCAGCCTTTTTAGGTCGTAGAAGATAGAGCAGCTCGACAACTACTAATATGCATAAAAGTTCCTTTCATAGTTGTTTAAAAAACTCAGCCGATTGATCGATTAATCATCGATTGGTTATCGACTAATGTCGTCAACGTTTTTCCTTGACACACCGATACAGTTTTAATACCAGACGAAATAAATTAAAACAAAAACACCAACTAATATGACTAAACTACCACAGATGAACAAAATCACCATTTTGTTTGCGTTAGGCTTGTGCCATTGTATATATGATGAGTATCCTGTGGAACCCCCATGCAATGACTTGTCACGATAACACGTAGATGTATGGTTAACCTAGTTAGACAGAGAAAACAAAGAAATGCGAAGACACATCGCTGATCCGACCCAAGTCCCTACTTACTCGATGTTGTTCTTTTCCTTTTTTCATTGCCTCGGATTCTGTTAAATATTGAGTATATGATTGAATTTTTAAATTCGACACTAATACAACTGTATCTGTTGTATTCTCGTTCCTGAGAATATTTCTTTCAATAATATCAACAAGTCATACCGGGTAATAACGAAAACCTAGTTTTGCTATATATGCGCTTTTAACACTCATCGATTTTACTCTACATTCACTACCATCGGCATTGTATGTTTTAAGTTTATAAAGCACGGGTAAACCCCATATGATGAATACTATACCAGTTATGATTACTATCGTTGCTAGAATAGCAGTAGATAGCTTTCTTCCTGAGTTCTGTGATGAAAAAACTGTTCGATGCTGAGAATTCATTACTCTGCCTTAGGATACACTCGTTAATATTTTTGTTATCCTATAAAAATTATAACACAATTTTGATGTGTTAGTTGCATACATCAGTAACGTTTCATGATACAAGAATGCAGAGGAAAGTTGCGATTTGTCCGGTCAAATAAAGTATAGTTATGATCAAAGGAAAAATACTTAATGACTGATACAAAAAGAATATTGTTTATTCTGCGATCATAACTGTTCTCAAAAACTTCCACACTCTGATGAGTCATCCATAAGAAGTATGAACTCCTCAGAATGCTTTCTTTAGGTAGGCTCAAGGTTTCTGGATAGATGGATATCTAGAATAAATTGCTGATCTTTTTGTGCTTGACGCTTTTGACTTTTGCTCAAACTGTTTGCAACTTCTTTAGAATCGAGTGCAGTTGACCTTCAGCACAAAGCATCACAACAGTTCATGTGGTGTAAGTTATCTATAAAATCGAATGATACAAAAGATACAATTGGTGTGTGCGCCAATTACCTGAATCCTTTTATCTTTCAATAATTTTGATATGAGCGAGATAGGTTACACGAATAAATTCCACATTGTATAATCCTTTACTCAACTCCGTATACAGGAGGTTAAGATTACGACTTTTTCAAAAACGTCGAAACTTAATGACTTTTAGTTAGTGAGTACCTTTAATGGAAGCAGAAAGTGAAAAATGATAGTGATTTGTGTGTTTATCCCTGATAAGTTGTATTAAGAATGAAATATTTTCTTTTTTTCTTTCCTTTTTTTGCGTTATAAACGAGACCTCTAGACACTCGTTTTTCCAGTTTGATCGTTTCTCAGGTTGTTCGTTCTTTTTGAGGAACTCTCGGTGTCAAGGACGCAATTATCGGGGAGGTTTGGGAGGATGTGCATTCCTCGAATAATTGAAAAAGGCGTTGTTATGTTATCAATTATTCCTCGTACAAACGTTTTTCTATCGATTTCACACCACCTCAGAGCGAAAATTATTTTACACCCCCCCCCCCCTTAAGGTTTGGCTCCTATTTACGGCCGTGGTTGATGTTTCTTTTTATTCTTGGCTGAGAAATAATTCAGATTTCTGCTACGCAATAAAAAAACGTCTTTTTTGTTAAATAAGACGCACTGAACATGTGTTTACTAATACAATGTGGTCGTTGATAACAGAAACAAGTCAGCTATAAAAAAAGGATGATTTAATGGAACCCTTTGTTTTTCACTGAACTGAAAATCTTTTATTTTGTGTGTGCATTTCTTTCAATATATATTTTGAAATATTTCCCAAAATACGCTTTCTAATTTCACCAACTGCTAACGGAGCCAAACGAATCATGTGACCAAGTGCACCTAATCTCGACACAAACAACTGTTCACCATCGATTTCATCGTATTGCGTATCCTATGAGACGAGAAACATGCTGACAAAGCAATTTCATTTAAATAAAATTGTACAAAACTTACATCGATTATTTTTTGCAATTATCGATGGTGTATACACTTCGATTATTTTCAGTAGCATAGGAGCTAGAATAAGAAGAGTTTTCAGTAGACAAACAGCTGTACATACCAACAGATGAGGACTTTTTAGCTTTTCGCATATTACCTAATTCAAGTATTTGTAATTTTAATAAATTATTCAGCACTATTTGTGTATCAATACGATCAAAAATAAACGGATGTTGAAGAAATACCTTTAAGAAAAACGAAACAAAATAATAATGACTGAATAAAAAAGACTGATGCATACTTTTAATAATTGATTGATATTTTCATAATAAACAGCAGTTTGTTCTTGTTCTAGAAATAGAAAGAGTACTCGCAGTCATATTAACTGTTCTCTCTTGTATTGAGCTTCAGTTTCAATAGATGTTGTTAGATATTTTTTCCATAAATAAATTCTAGTAATTAAGCCATTGATTCTTGATCAAACAGAAGCGTTGATATCTTTTCAAATACAGTTTTGACTAGTGTACACATTTTAGCAAATTGACCATTTCCATTTAGATCAGTGATCGTTATTATTTCATCTTTTCGTTCAGCACCAGTTGTTGGAAATCGTTTTTGTTCTTTGATCGATTCATCGAGTAATTGTTGACCAATAATATTCTAACACAAATACGATAAATGTAAATGATTACAACTGTTAACTTGTCTGTTACTTACAGCATTAATGGTGTACTCAAAAGAAGCAATTGCTTCTTTTGAGTTAATATTTTCAAATAATGCCTGCTTCAACGGTATCAAAATACTTAATGCTGTTGATGAACGTTCCCTATGTGTTTTGATTGCATGAAGGACGAACAGTTTTAATAAAAATTCATTCTTGTCAGGATTTGGTAAACAACCTAAAAATTAACGGATGTTCAACGTACGAGTAATTCGATTAATTTTGGAAGTGTATGTATTACGTGCAGAAATACTACAAATCAAATTAACAAGTTTTAATTCTGTCAACTCTTTTTGATCATTTGACGTTGATGGATCAGCCATTTGTAAACTAAGTTCGACAAGTCTGAGTAAATGTCGATGAAAACTGAAATATGAAAATAAGAATTAATTTATCTAGACAATTGATAAGATAATTTGTAATAGATTAACAATCATCATTATTTTATCGTAAAAATAACAAAGGCTTTCGACCTATGCCATAACCCATCCTCAGCTTGAGAGCTTTATTTTGAACTGTTCATTTAAATACTAATAATTCCTGGTGCGATATTTGTGGATGTCTACCTATAACAATTATTTCCTCCTTGTTTCCAGTGATGCCATGAATTATTGGTATTTTAATGTTCCTGCTGTTTTGATAATTGTTGATCTATTGCTAAATTATGTTGTTTCATAATGGATCGAAGTAGACAGATGATGTGTCGAGAACACTTACAGGAATTTGCTATTGATAATTTCTCGAACTGCACATTTTAAAAACGCAGAACTACTTTGAGATGAATGAGTACGAAAATAGAAAAAAAACGCTTACCGTTGAGCATTTTCATCGACATTCGAATATAAATTTAGTAGAACACAAACTTTCTCATCTGCTGAAAAATCTCATGGTATCAGATAAAAACTGAGTATTCGTTCAGCTAATAATCTAAATATAAATGCTTGTCAAGAATCAGCATCATAATCAGGAACAACATTATACTTGTCTTGCAATGATGCTTGATAATACAAATTAACGATACAATTAGCTAACCATGCTAATTGTTTTTGAATTTCATCTGACTAACTACCATATGAACGTTCTTTTTATGACAATGACTGAGGCATCTAATGTTTCTTTACGACTTTCCCACTAAAACGGTGCAAGAAAAATATCATTTTTTTCTCTCTCATAAACTTGTAGCAGGGAAGGCTAGTGTTTTTTATCACTTTATCCCTTGCTCTTTCAATTAAAATTGATTTCATTGTTGTATTAATATTAGTCATATTCCCATTTGTTATTGCTCGTATTTGAGCAACTATTTGAGACCAAATTTCTTGATCAACAGAATGACTTAATTGATAAATCAATGCTACAAAAACGTAAAATCAAGTGACAACTTTTTGTTATAAAAAAAATAAAAATCAACGTACTCTCTAAATCTGCACGTAATTCTTGATGGTTAACAAAAAAACTTTTTAACAGCTTAATACATGTCAGTTGGATCTCTGGAATATCTCAAAATCTAAAAACAGAAGAAAGAAGAGTCACCCTATAATTTACAAAGAACGTAACCTATCGTGTATCTTTGCAAAAATGTTGTCCAGAGACTCTTATGTCTTAAGGCAAAATCATTATTTGATGAACTTGTGACATATGCGACAATTTTAGTTGCATCACGTCGATGTTTCTCATTGGTCATCTCCAAAAAAACTCGAATATAAGTTATTTTGTCTAAACTTTTAATATTTACTGTTAAACGATGTTCAATAAACGGTAATAAATCGTCCACAATCGATTGCGATATATGACAAAGTTCATCAAATATGTAATAAACTTTATTTGACAAACTTAAATTTTCAATGTCTTCTGCTACGAGAACAGTTTTGCAATACTAGAAAAAAAATGAATTTATATGCACTAATAAGCCACAATTAAGCACAACATCTTACATCAATAATAGCCGGTTTAAGATAAACTTCGGTCCTGCGCATAATTGATTTAACCTATTCGCAGCATTCTTCTTGGAATTTCTAAATGAACAAACGATAGTACGATCGATAATCTAAGAATATTAAAATGAAAAGAAGAATATGTAAAGAACAAGTACCCTTATATCGGGTTAGCAAGATATGTGGACGACATCTTGTTAATTTCAGAATTAGATAAGACACAAATCGAGCAATTAGTTAAGGAGTTGAATAGTAAGAATGACCTACAATTTACATTTGAATATGAAAAAGATCATAAAATACCTTTTCTAGACGTACTTATTTGGATAAATGAAAAAAGTGATGAAATAGGTACGAGTTGGTATAGAAAAGAAACAGCAAGTACACGGTTATTAGATCATCTAATAATCGTGTACTTGCTGTTTTCTTAGAGTTAAAGTTTAACTCTGATCATAGCTATGCAATGAAACAGAATATAGTTATGAACATGGTCGATAGAATTAAAATAAGCAATAACGAAAAAGTTAATATAAATGACTTAAAGAGGTTAGAGGAAATGTTAAAGAACAGTTGCTACCCAAAGAGAATAACAACAAAATTTTTCAGAAAGTGAAAAAGAAAATTAATAAAGAGGAGAAGGGAGATAGTACAATAGTCATCCCTCATAGACATTTGCTAACGGAAAAATTAAGAGCACATTTAGCTAAATTTAACATTAAAATCTATACCACTTTAAATCGTAGTATAGGATCTATACTTAATAAAGCAAAGAAAATTGCACAGAAAGATTGCGCTCTTGACCAAAAGAACGAATGTAAATGTGGTCAAGACAGTGTATATGGTGTACCATGTACATGTGGTGATATTTATGTCGGTGAGACTTGCTCGTTTAAAAGACGAATAAAAGAATATATGTGGAAAATCAAACGGAGAGATGTCAAAGGATCAGAGTTAGCACAACATGCAGAGAACCCCGGTTGTTTTGTTAATTTCGATGAAAGCGTTATCTTTGATAAAGAAAAGCATTGGGCAAGAAGAAAGAAACTGGAAACGGTTTATACTATTGCCAATAAGGGTTATAATAAATGCAAAGGAATAAGTCCGCAGTGGAAGTCTACTATCAAGAAGTGGGTCCGACTCAGAACAGGGAAGAACTTTTTCGCGACAGTGGACAAACTAGTCATTAATTCTGGAGAAATTATAGGTAATACTATCACTAATCAGACCACAACATATAGATATAATTATACGAGCTATAGTGTACGCGAACAAAAGAGGAAAAATTATAAAGAATGACTTAATAATATGTCTATTCATTTACAACTCTCTTTCCAATATCATAATAAAGAAAAGATAATCGATCAGATAATTTTTCTCATCTGTTCGCCGATGATTTAACTATAGTAATCAAAGTGGTACTTGAAAAAAATTGTCTGACAATATCATATACTTAGAAGATCAGACAAAAGCTGTTCTAAACGGTCTAGAAACTTTGCAGATGATTATATCAATCAATCAATCAATCAGTTTATTTTAATACGAATGTGTCTAGGATGTTACAAAAAAGATAAAACTTCGATGAATGTAACGCCTGTGTTAAGATCTAGAGAAACGAGAAGAAATTATTTCATATAAAGAGAAAAAATCAAACTTTAAATAGAGAATTATAGATTCTAATTACCGTTGTAAGACTACATATTCAAATACAGTCTAAGCCTTCGCCAAAAAGCTCCTATAGCAAATCGGGATATGACAGATTGTAGCAAGAGGTTCCACTCCGTACATGTACGGGGAAGAAATATTACTGGTGAACGTTGCAAAGTGTAAGGCAATACTAATGCTCAGTGCAGCAGCACCCAGAAAACCAGCAGTTTCTGATAAAAACAATCCTATTGAGTATGTTTCATCTTTTAAATTTCTGGGAGTACAAATCGGGATAAAATCCGGATTGGGACATCTAATTAATGATCGTTTAAAAAAAGTAAAAAATATTTATTGTGCACTAGCTAAAACTTTTAAATCAATTTCCGAAACAAATAAAAATTAGAAGAAAATTTTTCTGTCTACGTCTTGCTACATTTCATTTAGCTGTTCGCGACGTGGTTTCATTACACTGAAACACAACAGCAAAATATTGAGCATGTCTATTGTACAGGTTTACGGAATGTATATAGTTTATGGGGTTGAAACGACCCTGCTACTTTAGCTCTATCAAGAGAGTTTTCTCGGCAAGATTACATTTATAAGTATTGGAGTAAATTCAGATTTATATAAAACAATATCCTGATGCTGTTATTTACCAACAAACATGGTCTACTTTTCTCAAAGCCGCTTTCCCTCGAAAAATTTATGACAAAGTATGGATTTCTGGGAAAATTCTAAGTTCCGTAAGATAGACTAGCTGTCAGAGCTGAGTATACGTATCTGGACTGGGTTACATTCAGTAACACACAAAAGCAGCAACTTCACCTCTTTCGCAATTCTACTTCTACCTTAAAGCCGTTTGTGCTGGTAGTTTCCACAACCACTCTACTATCGGTTGCAAAATACTAGAGCAGTGGCCGTTCTTCACACAACTGCTGAATTTCACGATTCACTCAAACAACATCAGAAATACTTCAGAACTTTATGGTGTACAGTATTCAGGCTGTTTCATATTCTGTTTAGAATAAATCAACAAGAAAAAGCTTATAAAATCCTGTGGTTTTCCGAAAGTGTTTCTAGAAAACCTCAGGACAAAAACATCATTTTTTAATTATTTTGCTTCTGTAATCCCATCTAGCGGACAGAATTAACTATATCCTGAAGTTCTGAACACGTTCTGATGTTTTTTGAGTGAATTGTGAACTTTTTAATAATAGGTGAAGGAAAACAGGCGGAAAACTCTAATTTTTCAAAAAAATTGGTTTTCGCTAGATTTTAAAATCTTGTTTCAAGAACAAATATTGCAACGAGATTCAGCATAGTCGAAACTTTTGTTTGCATGCATTGCGGAGTTTCATTGACTGAAATGGAGAGTAATCCTAGGGCTCCCAGGAAAATCCCATCCCTTGTGCAACCGCGGCAGATGAAGCTCTCTCTTAAGTTCTGTTTGGCAAACGACACTGCTTATGAAAATATTCTTTTAAATCTGGGCTATCGAATAGCGAAAACCGCGAGTCTTCATCAATTTTCGTTCAACAGTTGTTGGAAGAGCAGCCATTGCTCTTGTATTTTGGAACCGATCGTAGTACTTTTATCTTTAAAAAACCAAACGTGGTTTGGGAATATAAAACAAATATGAGTATAAACTTCCTCGTATCTGCAATGTAATACCAAAATTCTGACGTGACTTTCACTTCTTTTGATCTATCACTTCTTATTACTTTACAAAAGCATTATCATAATTTATTTTCCCTTTAAGGAATAATCAATTTACATATAAAAAAAAACTGGAAATATTCTTGTTTTTTTGTTGTCTGCACGTTGCCAATCGAATTAAGAACAAATGACAAGTTGTTGGCACGCAAACAGAAAAGAAACCTCTATGCATCGAGTTTTGTAACACAGCATTTTATTCTTTTCTTTTCGAAAAAAATTTCGCCCGTTTCCTTTTGCCAGTGTTACACGATGTGAAATATTTTATTTAAATTTTTATACGAGAGGTTAGCGCAATAATACAAGAAGTTTATGAAACAAAACTGAATCCATTCATTCTGATGTTATATAAAACTTATGGCTAACAATAAGTTCGATTTTGAGTCCATAAACGAGGAACGTGTGCATAAAAATGTCAATGGAGAAATGGTCTACTGTCCAATTTGTCACTGTCTTTTATGGAAGCCAGTTGCATGTAAATCATGTGAAAATTCATATTGTTCTCCATGTATGGAAGAATGGATAAGTAAAAACCAAGATACATGTCCTCTTGGTTGCCGATATGAACAACGTAAATGTCCGCCTCTCCTAATGAACATTTTGTCAAAATTGGCTATCGAATGTCGGTATAAAACAAATGGTTGTAGTGAAGTAGTGGCTTACGAAGCACTAGAAAAACATCAGAATGAATGTATTTATCAATTAGTTCAATGGCTAGGATGTGAACAAAAGAAATTAGAAAAAGATCTTGATCAACATCAACATCAACAAGATCATGTGGAATCGCAGTGTGCTGAGTCTGAAAAAACTTACGTACAAGAAGACATCTCAACTCACAATGGAATAAAATGTTTACAATCTCAGTCCAATTCCACAAAAGAAGAAATGGAACAAAAAACATATATTCAACAGAATATCTCGGAACAAGGATTGAAAGTGGTGGAAGAAATGTTGAAAACAAACTTCGAACAACTGACGAAAGTAATAAGCGAAAATGATCGAAAATATAGAACTACTATGGGAAATCTAGAACAGAGGATTCAACAACTTGAGTGTAAGTACATACATTTGAATATAATAAAGTCTTCGTTGAGATACTTTATAATTAGAAAATCTTTATTCAGACTTTTCGATGTAAATGGCATTTTCGATGTAGAGTACTTCTCACTGTTTGTGAATAAAAGAAAGTGTACGAACGATGATCAGCGTTTGCTTTTAGAACAGTAAACGCAGCTTTCGTAGATCTGTTCTGTTATAGACTCATCCGATGAAAATGTTTTTTTAAAGATAAGATGGATTTAAACAAAGGTTTAAAGAAAACTGATCTTTCTTTTTGTTGTTATACGGCTTGTCCACGTAACGTGACACTTTCCTGCTCAGGCTTTTTCTGAATTTTTTTCATCGAAAATCGATAGGGGCATATCACTAGATGTAGCTTTTCATGCTGATCACCAATCTGACTTTTTTTCTGAAGAAAAACTTAATTTTCAATATAAAAATTTTACTTCAAAATTTTTAAGAATTTCAATTTTCTGCCTCAGACATTTTGTTCAACAAATTTTAAAAACATACCATTGAATAGAGAATTCAATTTTTTACAAAACAGCTCATTTTGTTTTGAGATATATTTTTCAGGCGAGACACAGTGGCTGCTTGAACGTTTCAACTTCCCCGTTGATCTGAAAGCCTCAGAGAATTTTTCGAACTTTATTTTCAACTGGAGTCTATTCAAGAAACCTAGACCTACACAGACTATAAGTATGAAGTTTTTTTAACAACATTTAGTGCCTAAAAATGGTGTGACAAAAAAAGTGTATCACGTCGTTAAGAAAAATGTCACGGCGTTACGTTTGTTTTTTGCATTTTATACCCGAGCAAAAATAGTTGGAAGAAAATTTTTTTGCCGTTGAGCAGCTCGTTCAATGTTCTACAAAACTCTCTCTTGAAACTTTCCAGCTGGATAGAGACTTTTGCGGGAAATTAGAGCTTTATCAGCAGTCTTCAAAACGTAGGGCATTTTTATGTCATATCGTTACGCACTGAAGAAGCCTTTCTGATAGCTTGAGACTTAAACAGAAGAACTTCATTTTTACACCAAAAATAGAGGAAATCGAGCTGCGTCGAATGAGCTTTCTAGCTCTTATGGTTTTTGAGATAATTTAAGATAAGTGTGTCAAAAATGTTAGGCAAGTCGTATAGTATTTAACCAGCCACATTACATTTGATATTTCACGTTATATTTTTTCTTCATTGACACGTGGTATTTTTCACAGGTATTTTATCGTTATTGCGCCTTATACCATAATACTATCGTCTGTATCAATCAGTCAAACGCATAGCAAATACTTTTGGCTGATGTGGCTGAGTTTGCACATACAGTTGCCGCAAAAATTGAGCATATAGCTTGTAATGTATATATTTGATAGAGACGTTGAAATAAGTGATAAGAATACATGAGAAACAAAAAGTTCTGAATAAACACAAGTGTGAAACTGAATAATATGAACACTTAATCTAAAATCACAGACTTTTATCAACTCTTAACCTTTTACACCCGCCAGTTCTTTTCAAGAGACATTGAGATAATAGATTTATAAAAAGGGCGGATCATCAGCCCAAAAGCTAAATTATTACTAATGTAAGACAATAAAGAAACCTAACATTTGATTAAAATAAGAAGAAAATTTTTCCGTTTTAATCCGATATATTTGAATTTTAAAACTGAATGAAGTGCAAAAATGAATTTTTGTTTTTAAATATTTTCTATATTTTTAGTCACTATAACCATTTTCTAATTTTGCAGGTTGATTTTGGTTTTATGGATCCGCTTCATAATGAAATCAACGAAGAAATTTTTGTAGCATTCTTCTCTGCGTAAAGACGCTGTGAATCCTTGAAAGGACATTCGAGTGTAACGATGTGAAAACTGAATTTTTGATCTTGTTAGCGTAGGTCATTCTGTGAACACTTGCTACACACGTGAATGAAGAAAAAAGATGTAAGCAACAGTAGAGCGCCGTCGTCGACAAATATGAATGCGTTTTTCTCTGATCAATATAAAAAGTCCATCGAAATGTATTTAAACACTAAATAAAATGGAGGCACGTCTAAATTAGCTTTACTTTGTCGAACAGTATTGCATGAGCACGTCTAGACGCGTTAAAGACATTTCTCATTCTCAAAGAATCGTCCAGATGCAACTAGTTTTGAGAAACAATTATATGTACGCCTGAGCACACTCTCTATTTAACCAGATTCTCTAAGCGCATTTGAACGCATGTTAGAATCAGGGACCGTCTGCACGCGTCCTTCATTCAGTCGAGACACGATGCGCCCGAAACACATTTTTCTCTCATTGAGATAAAGAAAGCTCGTTTAGAAGCGTTGTTCTTGATTCGAAAAACGCGTTCGGGCAAGGCGTTTTTGGAAAAATTAAGGAAAACTGCGTTTGCACGTTGGTTTCTATCGAAAATTGTTCCAATGAGTAAAGAATTAAAAAGAACTCATATTAGTATACTGGGCAAAAAAGGAAGTTCGGAATAACAATGATAAATACAAAAATTCATACCGTTACACCCGTATGTCCCTTCCAAGGGACATCATGTATCCGCGCAGCAAAGCAACGTCATGTATCCACGCAGCAAAGCAACGTCATCTCAATTCAGACATAACAACGGTGTGCCGAAGAATCATAAGCTCCGATGCAGTAGTTATTCCAGCTGCAGCTATAATAAAAGTGTCTTCGAGTGTAAAGGGTTAAGAAAGTATTCAAAAATTGCAAGAAACGATTGGTTTATTGCACGATTATGCCTGCTGGAACTCTGCCGTATGATCTACTGATACTATAGCGTTGTTCACTCAAATCTTAGAACAAACTGACTCTGCTACCGGTTTGCTATCATCATTCTTCAAAAAACATTTTCTTTTATGGGAAATGTAGTGCGACGTTTGCTCTTTAGAAAAACATATCTCCACAGTTTCAAAATATTTTTCTTTAGATATATTCAATTCATCGAAAGTTTATTTCAAAAATTTTTGATGGTAAAATATTATTTTCAATAAACTTTCAAAAACGTTTCTTTTCCAAAAAAGAAACAATGAGAAGAAATGGATTATATATTAAGATGCATGCTTGCAACTTTTTGAAAAACTTTCTTAAGAGTTGATAAAAGTCTGTGATTTTAGATTAGATGTCTATATTATTCAGTTTCATACTTGTGTTTAAAATGTATTCAAAACTTTTTGTTTCTCATGTATATTTTACGTTTTTATTTTATTCCATGGGGAAATTTTATCGACTGTTCACGCGTGAGGGGCCGTGAAATGTCAACTTGGACTTTCATGAAATTTTGTAGGTAAAGACAGGAAGTTCCACGACGGTTTGATCGTGTTGTTGCAACATCACACGCGTGGCCACGCGTAAAATATCTTCACACGTGTACACAAGTGAACAATCTTCACGCGTGGTTACGTGTGAAAAAATCTTGACCATGCCGACCATCCATAGCCAACTGACTATAGATGGTCACCATGGTCATGGTATAATGCAGTCTTCACCAACGCAACTTTGTCTATAACTTTTTCCACGTGTGACCACTAGTTTCTAAAATATCACATTTTCTATATATCATCACAAAGTAAGAGTCGAACCAGGGTACTTTGAATCAGAAATCTACGATACTACTATTGACCAAATTTGCCTAAAAAACTACTGAATAAATCTCATATTCATACTTGTCGAATCAATCTTCACGAGTTACCACGTGTAAAAAAGTTCTCACGCGTGATTACCCGTGAACCTCCTAAATCTTTTTTCTTAGTTTCCAGCTTTTCCAAACTATTTTAGTTAATACTTCCTCCCGGGAAACAAGATGATTCCCAGGCATATTCCTACAGAAAATACCTTCGGTCTACAACAAAGGTTTTCATCTGTATGTAGTTAGTTTTAGTTAGTTTTTGCTGGAGTGTATGACTTATGACACGCATCAATTATTACAGTTCAATTAGGATGGCTAAATCTGTTTATGCTTATCAGATTGAAATGTTCTTAGTTCTTCTGAATGTGACAAACTAAGAAACTGCTTTATGGTCAGTTTAGTGGCGTAGCCACTGAATGGGCCGGAGTGGACTCGACACCCATTAATTGGTTTTACCCACCTACTAAAAGTTTACACTATTCTATGCTAATGCCTACCACTATGAAAAAATTTGGGGCAATGCCCACCCACTAACAAAATCCTAGCTACGCCACTAGGTCAATTGTATAATCAAGCATAAAGGATATTAGAAAGAATTTAGCAACTATTTTATATTGAAAATATCAGGTCAATCTTATGTTTTATCTCAATCTGGTAATAAGTCGAAAAACCTCATGAGCCTAAAACAAAAACAGATCATTTTCGCGTACTAGTGAACAAAAAGATTCTACCTGTTAAGGTAGAATGCAGTAGCATTTCATATTGAAGGCTGAAATTAGGTACTCTCTTTACACGCTAAATATACGTAGCATCATAATGATTATTCTAGTAGATATTCACAGCCTTCCCGCTTATTTTAGCACAAGCACAAATTGGTTCATGGACGTCATGGGCTGAACGAGCAATTACAATTGCAGGCTCAACAAACGGTGCCAAAGGTTCATCGTTAAATGAGATGAACAGCCCACAGGATCTCTTTGTTGATAATGAAAATAATGTGTATGTGGCAGACACTAATAATCATCGTATTATAAAATGGAAGCAGAATGCATCAGTTGGTGAGATTGTTGCAGGAGATAATGGTCCAGGGAAAAACTCGAATCAGTTGAACTGTCCAGCAGCTGTCTTTGTGGATAAAAGTGAAAATATGTATATTTCTGATCATAGAAATAATCGTGTACAAAGATGGAGTAAGGGAATGATTGTTGGCGAAACGGTTATCGGTCCATGTAGTCAAGGTTCAGCTAGCAATCAGATTAATGACTTTTATTGCCTATTTATTAATAAAAGTAGAAATATTTATATAGCAGATTGTTGGAATCATCGAATAATGTTGTGGAAGGCGAATGCAATTGACGGCATTGTTGTTGCTGGTGGAAATGGCAGTGGAAATGCTCTAAATCAGCTATACTGTCCGTGGGGTATTTATGTAGATGAAAATGACAATATATATATAGCTGACGCGGAGAACCATCGTATACAAAAATGGTGTAAAGGATCAGCAGTCGGTATAACCGTCGCCGGTGGGAATGGTCAAGGATCCAATTTAAATCAGCTCAATCGACCGCACTCTGTCACACTCGATAGAAATGGAAATATATATGTGGCTGATCAGTGGAACCATAGAATAGTACAGTGGATAACAGGACACAAAGCAGGACGAATTATTGCTGGAGGGAATGGTCAAGGTTGTCAACCGAATCAGTTATTTCGTCCACAAGGAATCAATTTTGATGCACGCGGCAACTTGTACGTTGCTGATTGCTACAATCATCGTGTGCAAAGATTCACCATTCATAGTACGTAGGCTTTTGTTTGAATCACAGAGTACATTTTACAACAGTTTCCAGTGTGAAAATATAGTGAATATCAAACAGACATTCCCTTTTCTCTTGTGCGATTTAGAGGAACCCCTCTCTCTTTTTCCTAGAAAAGTTTTTATTTTGAGCTGACCATAGCCGAATGCAGAGGAAAGTATGGGCTATAAAATGAGACCACTCCCAGCTCTCCACGACCTTTCTTGATAAAATTATGAAGTTTTTAAGTTTCCTTCAAAGCTCTGAATATTTCGACTTTTTAGGCTTGTAAAATTTTTCTCTCCTTTCCTCTATATTCAAAATCTTTTTTCGTAAATAGCATCCTGGAAGGAAGTGTGCCCTTCAAAATGAGATGTCTTCTAGAATTTTTCGATGAGTTTTCGTGCAGATATAAGCATCGCTGCAAATGCCCTGAAAAGAACGGCCATGTGCTTTTCTCGCTATGCGTTTTTTCTATAGTCCCTTCAATAGGGTCACAATACGCCCTCTCGAAAAAATGGTCCGATCAAGCTCAAAAATTTACCACAGATACTTTAGATCCTATCTCAAGATGTGAATTCTTTTTAAGCATTTTCGATTTCAACTGTCGGCGTGAGGGGTCCAAAGTATCTATGCTAAAATTTTAAGCTTGATCGGACCACTTTTTCGATGGATCATAATGTAACTGGATGAAAAGTAGAGTTTTCCAGAAAACCTATAGAAGCATACGTCAGAAAATTCCGAGCAAAATAAATCGATTTTCTTTTTCGATGTTCTATCTCTGGCGTAAATATCACCTCGGTCCGACATCGGTTTCCCCCATTTCCAAGAGGGTCAAAAAAGAGGAGGAGGTGCCGTTAAGTTTGCTTGTTCTGACCTTTACGCAAGAGTGATTCGATTTGCTTTTGTATTTAGATTGATAAACAATGATAACAAATGCAGCTTCCTGTTTTTTCTGACAACATACCACGTCTACCTTGTACATTTGTTTATTTCTGAATAGTTAGTTGTAATTACTGACGAGGAAACATTCTTAGACGTACACCTTTGTTTCCGAAGATATTATACCAGTTTATAGAGGACACTATCCTAATAAAAACGTTAAAATGGTTTGTGCCCATATTTCTTTTATTATAGATTAGAAAGTTTTTAAGCTTTTTGACGTTAAGCGCTGTACTATTACTAGAAATTATACATGGTCCCATTGACGAATTAAAGTCTGAACTTTTTTCTGTTCTTCTGCTAGTAGTTTGCTATTATTAGAAAAAAATTCAGTCTGATATATCTCTAACTTCGCTGCTTATCAAACTTTGCATTCCCGAAGAAAAACACATGTTTTCTAATAAAACAGCAATATGTTCCTGAAAATTACAAAAGAGAAAACGCTAGTTATCTTTATGAAACAAAGTGAATCTACAGTAGGATACTTAATTATGTCCTTCATTTATTTTTCATTGTTAATTGATCACATTTTCGAAGATTTGTTTCAACAAGTAAACTAAAACTGCGTGACTAAAATAGTTTTCAATATCTATCTATAACCTTGAAATTCGTAACGATGAATGAATGAATAGAGTTATCATCTAGACTATTGAAGAATGTAATGTCTTTTGAATCAATGAATATGGTATCCAATAAAGAAGTGATCAAAATATAATGAACAACAATGAACAAGCATAATAGGTTAGAACATCAACCACATTCTATTAATAGCGATTTCTTATGGTTATGTTTTGAAAAATACTAGTCTGTAACGGTGAACAGAGTTGTTTGACATTTTCAAACGTGGTCCGATTATTTTTGATGAATACAAGATCGTGCCAATACGTGAGAAGGCATTCAGTCAATTTACAAGACTTTGAACAAGTCAATATGATATTGGATGGTTGGAATAGATTTCTTTCTCTATTATCCTTAAACGTTCAGATTAGCCTTTAAGGCATAGATAGAGAGAAGAGAGTAAATGACCACTCAGACTAATAGTGGACTGGAGCATGTAGTTGTGTTTAATGTTGTTGACTGATCGGGCTCTGGCTAAGATAGTCTTGTCTCCTTAAAAACTCATAGTACGATTTGAATATAAAACTTCCAATTGTAGACCGGATTGATCTGCAGCTGTTATATAATATTGATTATATTTGTTCGGTAATTCATGTACATGATTTACAAAGTCATCTGCTGATTTCTGTATTGTATCTTTATCCCCTACCTCATGTTTGATTATCATCTTCGTTACTTTTCTAGAAGATGATCGATACACTGCGAAAAAAAAGTGCCCTTTGGTGAGTTTTAGGGCACATGGAAGTGCCCTAAATGCGCCACAGTCACCGTGAAAACAACAAACAGGGCACTTACATGTGCCTTAAATCTCACCAAAGGGCACCTTTTTTCTCAGTGTATTCACGTTTACAATCTGATACCCATTTATCACTTGCTACAAAACTATGCTGATTGATTTCTTTTGCTCGACGTAGAGCCCATCTTTTAAGATCCATGTCATGTATTGATAAAAATACTTATCGTTTCATCGGCTCCATCTTGAAATTCTGAACTATTTTTACTCAAATGAAAACTCAAATCATGTACCAGTTGATAGAGGACACTATCTTGATAAAAACTTTAAAAGGGTTTGTGCAATATTGCTTTTATCATAGATTAGAAAGTTTTAAAGTTTTCTGACGGTAAGCGCTGCACTAGAAATTCTATATAGCCACATTGGCGAACTAAGGTCTGAATTTTTTTCTATTCTTCTGCTAGTAGTTTACTACTATTATAAATAATTTAGTTTGACGTATGTCAGACTTCGCTATTCGTCGAATTTTTCCTTCCGTAAGAAAATTGAATTTAAATGGCGAAAGAATCAGAATTATATATACCACCGTCACATTTACAAAAATATGACGGACGCCCACTGCTTAACACTGTTAGTTAAATTAAAGTTGTTTTTGACGTTTTTAACATATTGTCATCAAATAGTACTCTTACATTTTCTCCTTTGAGGTAAGTGTTTCGTTATCTTATAGTGACGAATATTACATTTATCATGCCAAGTTTGTTACGCAAATGCTATGAGTAATAGACTGATGATTCTTTTCCCTCGCGTTAGAGTTTCTTTTTCTTCCTTAAAATATCGTCAGATAAAAGACATATATAACCAAGTACCCTGGTCACTTAACAGAGAATACCAACGGGAATAAAAATACTTAAACGATGTTTTGCAAAGCCAGTATTCTCCTTGTTTTAGTAAATTTAATTGATTCCAATAAGATTCATCCACGATAAAAAGTAACATTGATGAAAGACTATTAACCCATTCTCATACTATTTTGAATAGAGTTGCTCACGAACACTGTTCGTGAACATTGTCGGCGACAATGGTAGGGTAAAAATATTAGCAGAAATATGCGTCCTTATAACATATGGAATATGTGTTCATCAGAATTTGTTTATCTGCTTTAATTTATCCAAAGGACACCGGACGGTTTCTGCAAGAAAATGGCCCTATATATTTTGAGAAGATAACGACTGGAACTGATTAGAAACCGTTCGTTATTTAGTTTTTAATTTTTCTGCGCCTTAGAAGTTGATTGTAGACTACCATATGTTGAAATTTTTAATCATTTCTGATCATCGGTCCAAAAAGCCTGATCAATCGTATTTATTCATTTTTCTCTGCAAGTTCGACGTTCCTAATAGATCTTATACACGAAAACATGCGCAATTAAACGGACTTTAAAATGATATATAGCACACCTTTTCAAACTAATGTCTTCATAGATGTATTGGATAAATACTTGACAGATAACTCGATTTTACCCGTAGTGACAGTCAAAAATGATTCTACTTTTGTCAGTACAATCAGACCCGGAATGGTTTATACATAGAAAAATGCAGAATTGAAACAGCTACGCAATGAGTTATAACATATTGTTTCAAAAGTTTGTCATTATACATGTATTGGACAAATACTTGACAGGCACCTCGATTTTAACCGAAGTGGCAGACAAAAGTGATTATTGTTCCGTTCATAGATAGAGATCTCTAATCATTCATACATCATTCGATGCGCCTTGGAAACTCTACAATATGTGCTAATAGGAAACCTAAGGAAATTTCGCAGCGATTTTTCTGTATTAAACACTTCGCCGCTTAAACCGACAATGGGTCTAAAATTTATTTACCACCTTTAGTTTTCATTTTTTCGGCGACCATAATACAAGGGGGAAACAACTGACTCCACTTGACTCCAGTCGTATGGAGTCATCAGGAGTCAAGTGGAGTCAAGTGAAGCCCAGAGTCTGCTGTTTGACCCTTGCCCACCCACCTAAGGGGGAAACAATGGGACCCAGTCGTGTGGAGTCAGATGGAGTCTGCTATTTACCCCTTGTGCACTCACCACTAGCACTGTTACAGTTCCAATTCTAGAGAACTCGTGAAAAGTTCTCTAGGCCCGGAACTGTCACACTGCTTCTGGCACGTTTTAGCGAAGTTCTCTAGAGATCCCGATCACTCAATGCGTCATAGTCTTTTGAGCCAAACGTTGCGCAGAGGATCAAAAATCGAGTACATTCACAGTTTTAGGCTTTAGAGACCAGTTATTATTGTGAGAAACTCTTTTGAAAGCGCGCAGCTGACATTAAAATTTTGTCTAAACTTCCTAGTTATGTCTCAGAAGCCTAGAACCTATTAAAATATATTCAGTTTTTCATGCTCTTCGCAATGTTCTACTCAGAAGAGTATATCGCATTGTGTCATCGAGGTCTCTAGAGATCCGATTTCCAGAAAACATGTCAAAAACTAATTAAGATCAATCGAAACGAAGTTGAGATTCGTAATTAGCATCATTAATGAGCTTTGAAAACTTAGGTTTCGATTCAAACACAATTTACCGGTTAGGGTGCTTCCCTCGTGAGATAACTATGAAAAACCAAACCGTAGGGTCGGGCAACACGAAATTCGCCGTCTTACACTTTGGCAGTGAACTTTCGGCAATTGCTGAAAGTCATGCCGC